GCAAATGACCCAAATAAATATTGACCATCTTATGACAAAAGAAAAAAAAAAAAATTGACCATCTTAATAATATACTAAAATTTCTCGCCCAACATTGCAAAACACCCCTTTCGGTTATCGTAAGACGACACGTAAACCGGTTGTCATATTTAATAAAAACTGACGAAATTACCCCTCTAACAATCCCAACATTTAATTTACCAAAATACCCTTTATAAGCCATCACCTACCGCAACACCAAAAGTCTCCCACCAAACACGATCACCAGACCTCTCCGATTTTTATAAAAACCCTTAAAACTCTCTTCCCAACACTTCTCAGGTTTCGTGTATGCATTTCCACACACACATTTCTAGAAATCTCAACACCAAAATACACGAAATAAAAATCGAAACTTTTTTGTAAGAAACAATGGCGCTCATGAATGGAAGCATGAATCTATCATCGTCGATATGCAACCACCGTCAATCAAATTTCTCCTCCTCCTCCTCCGTTCCAAGACCTACTTCCTTCCGGATCTCCGCCGTACAAACCGATCCTAAACCATCGGCGGCGGTAACGACTCCGACGAAACCCGTCGGAGTTAATGTAGGTAAAGGAAAATGGGCACCGGAGAGCTGGAAGACGAAGAAAGCTTTGCAGCAGCCTGAGTATCCTGATTTATCGGAGCTTGAAGCTGTGTTAGAGACGATCGAGGCTTTTCCTCCGATCGTTTTCGCCGGAGAAGCTAGATTGCTTGAAGAACGATTAGGTCAAGCAGCAATGGGTGAAGCTTTTCTCTTACAAGGAGGAGATTGTGCAGAGAGTTTCAAAGAATTCAACGCAAACAACATTCGTGACACCTTTAGGATTCTTCTTCAGATGGGTGCTGTTTTGATGTTCGGAGGTCAAGTCCCTGTCGTTAAGGTAACATAAAGTTTGGATTTTTATCATTTTCATGGATTTTGGATTGATTAGAATTTGAGAAAGTTTGGATTTTTAGTCATGGGTTTTGGTGAGAATTTTTGAGTTTTGGGTTGGTTTAGGTTGGTAGAATGGCGGGTCAATTTGCGAAACCGAGATCGGATTCGTTTGAGGAGAGGAATGGAGTGAAATTGCCGAGTTACAGAGGAGATAACATCAATGGAGATGCTTTTGATTCGAAATCTAGGATTCCTGATCCACAGAGGATGATCAGAGCTTATTGTCAATCTGCAGCTACTTTGAATCTATTGAGAGCTTTTGCTACTGGTGGTTATGCTGCTATGCAGAGAGTTACTCAGTGGAATCTTGATTTCACTGAAAGAAGTGAGCAAGGAGACAGGTAAACAAAACAAAACAAACGAACTCCTTTTTGTTTTGGGATCTCTCTGTTACCTTTAATTGCCACAAATGGAAGATGCCGATTGTTATAGTTAGGGATTTTTATTTACCTTCTTTTAGTAGCTGATTAGCTTAGTCTATAGTCTTGAGTAAAGACCTGGTTGTTTCTATCGTGTTTGCGTTTGCGTTTCCATGTTATAATACTCTTAATCATCATCATAACATGTAAACGCAAAGAAACAATCGATCAGGCCTACCTTCGGGTGTTTTTTTTCTCTATATCAGTTGTTTGCGTTATGGCTACATCCTTTTTCTAGCTTGTGTTGGTCTATTTTGATGCAATGTTCCTTTTTTGAATACCTACTTTATTTGGTATCAGCTGGTTAGGTCTAATTTATTGAGTGGATGCAGAAAAGTTTAGGATTTTTCCCGTTTCAGCAACTGATAAGCCTAATAATTATTCGGCGTAATCTGTTTGTTCTTCTAAAGTTAATTGAGGACATTTCCTTTTTTTTTCTTTGTCTACATTTCGGGTGTGTGTGTGCTAAATCGTTTCATTGGTTTGGCAGGTACCGCGAACTAGCTAATCGTGTTGATGAGGCGCTCGGTTTCATGCACGCTGCTGGACTAACCCTCGATCATCCCATAATGCAAACAACTGATTTCTGGACTTCTCATGAGTGTTTACTCTTGCCCTATGAACAATCACTAACTAGGCTAGACTCAACCTCTGGTCTCTACTACGATTGTTCTGCTCATATGATTTGGGTCGGTGAGCGAACTAGACAGCTTGATGGAGCCCACGTCGAGTTCTTAAGAGGTGTTGCTAATCCTCTTGGAATCAAGGTTTGTTTTCAATCTTCTCTCTCATAATACATATCAGGTTTTTAGGTGAAACTGATCTGAGATCTTTTTGTTTGTATCTAGGTGAGTGATAAGATGGATCCAAAGGAGCTCGTGAAGCTGATTGAGATCTTGAATGCTGACAATAAGCCTGGAAGGATTACAATAATCACAAGAATGGGAGCAGAGAATATGAGAGTGAAGCTTCCTCATTTGATCAGAGCTGTGCGTCGCGCTGGACAGATTGTGACTTGGGTCAGCGATCCGATGCACGGAAACACCATTAAGGCTCCTTGTGGTCTCAAGACTCGTCCATTTGACTCCATCTTGGTATGTTTTACATAAAACTTTCCCTATTGTATTGATTAGAAAATGTTTTACTGTTTTAGGTTGATCATAGCAAATGATAGAAACAATTTAGTATTATTTTTCCAAAATAGTAAACGTATTAGTAGTATATGTATTATATATGGTGGTACTTGGTAGTAGGTGAGATAGCGAAAGGTGACAAAAATCAGATGGTTTGGGGCCAAAGTTGTTGACACAACTGCTTTAGTCTAAAGTTAGGTGGTCGTGAGAAAAATATGTAATATACAATACTAAGCACGTGTCCTTGATCCATATCTTACGTCCATATTTTATTAGAGATTTTATTTTTTAAATAAAGGTAGTAATTGTTTCATTTTGATTACTTGGTTGTTGGATTGATGTATTAGCAAATAAATTTATTAGTTATTGATTCTATGGTATGGTGGCAAATAATCTAATACATTTATCTTTATTGTGATTAATAGGCTGAAGTGAGAGCGTTCTTCGATGTGCACGAGCAAGAAGGGAGCCACCCGGGAGGTATTCACTTAGAGATGACCGGTCAGAACGTGACTGAGTGCATTGGTGGTTCACGCACAGTCACTTTCGATGACTTGGGTTCGCGATACCACACGCACTGTGACCCTAGGCTTAACGCTTCGCAGTCTCTCGAGCTCTCCTTCATCATCGCTGAACGCCTTAGAAAGAGAAGGATCAAGTCTCAACAGGCTTTTGCTGTCTAATCAAAACAAACATGTGCAATC